ACATATGCATAAGAGAAAAAGGTTTGGGCCAGTTCTGGTGAATCTCTACTTTCATTAAAGACCCCCTTAAGAACCATCTATGGACTAAACAGGTACTAATGGAAACAATAGCATTTTTGTACAAACCAAAGGGCTTATCTGTATTGTGCAGCATCTGCCACTACAGCTTTGTTGGTAGTGCTATGGTAGCAGTCTCCTAGTGGAGACCCAGCAGATAGTGGTGGAGAGGATTTTCTGTGATACCTTTAATAAAGCTACTTTCCTAATTAACAGAAGCTGTGCCTTCTTTTGTCACCCTGGCTGCACTGGGACTGATGAATTTGCCAGCAGAGCTACCCTCAGCTAGAGGGTGTAATATTTCACACCCCTAACCAACATAGCTCTGTCGGGAAGATTTTTAAATGCCCTTCAAATACCATATTCCCTTTTTTCTATAGAAGACCTTCTCATCTATGCTGCCTTGGAGCAAATCATTTCCAAACAAGTATAGCTAGATATTGATCTGGGTCTGATACTCTGGTGTAGTCTGGATGTGCAGAGTGGCAAGGAGACTTTCCTTGCCAGTCCAAAATTTACTTGGAGAAGGTCAGGACTGCTGTCACGGTGTCTCTTTTGGGCATGCAGGACTTTTAAGGGAGTAGGGAAGGCAGGTGAATCTCTGTACTTGGTTATGATGGACAATCATGACCTAACCATACATGGCTATAAATACACTACATACTATTACCATTTTACTCAGTATTCAAAACCTCAAGGTAAGACCAGATCTTACTAAGGAATTAAATATTATAACCAAAGGTCCCACCGGGCACATGATGGACATTACAGTATTTTTAATTACCCTTTAATGTCGGTTTTAAGTGTTGTGTGATAAATATTGGGCCTTCTACCTGAGTAATGCATGCTGCTGAGGCTGGTAGGAAGTTTCATGATATGAATACCTTAACACAATGAAATAATATTAAGCTAAGCTAAAGCTTAGGGCCCAAAGCAGCAAAACACTTAAGTGTGTACTAAACTTTACACCTAAACTTACATCTTAACCCTCTTTTAGCAAGACAAATATTTAACAATTTTAACGGTTCTTATGTACATTTCAGATTGTGATTGCTTGTCTTCTCGGAGTCCTTCTGGCTCCAGTTCTCGCTAATGATGTAAGTATAATAATTTGGCACAAGTGCAGTGCACTGCTGTTGTCAAAATTTTTATCTATCCTGTGATTCTTCATGTCTGGAAAGTCTGTTTCTGAAAATTAATCTAAACTATCCTCAGCACATGAAACTGATGTAGTACAAGACTGTCTTTACTTAATCAGGTGGAAAATACCTCCGTCACAAAAATGTCTAAATGACTCTCTGTCTGCCCAGAGTTTACAAGGTAGAAAGAGCTGAGTAGGTATTATATTGTCCTTGAATTTTATATGATTTTCCTTGAAAAGCTGCAGGAGAAAATTCATTTTGAGGCATTGGATGGAAACCCTCCAAAGCCCTCCAAACTGATTGACACTGATGTTTTCTCTACAAAAAAAAAAATTATATTTGGTCTGCAGGGCATTTTGCACTGGGGGAAAAAAAGGTGGTTTTTATTTTACTAACTCTAATAATACAGCAGTGCAATGACAGACATGTGAAACCCAGAAGGAAACTAAACCCAATTAAGAGACTTCAAGGTTTTGTTAAAATAGCATCAGCACTCTTCTGGTCATCCCCTGAAATATCTCTGTCTTGTATCCCTTTAATATGATTCCAAGGGCAATGACTTTTCCAAATTACTCATGGTTATGGAAATATTTTTAATGACCTCAATTACACAGCCTAAAAGCTTGGAGGTGTTTTCTGTTTGTTTTTAAAATCAGAATATGAATGAAAATAATCAGGGAAACAAAGGCGGACGTTCCCAACAGACTGTGAGCATCAGCGGCAATCAACATGTAGCCAACATTGACACGAACAATGGGTGGAACTCCTGGAACTTGGTTTGGGACGATGAAACTGTAAGTGGTCAGCGTGAAGATTTCTTGAATCAATAGTGTTACTTGTTCTGCTGTAGCTAGGCAGGGCCCTAAGCTGCACTACAGTGAATAAAGTTACATTGGTGTTAATGAAGCCCCAATGGGCTTGATTCCCTTCGTCACTGCCTGCATTATGGTGATAAAGCTATTGATTTAAATGGAGTTCCTCTGAATATATCCTGTGTAAGTAAGAAAAGAATCTGGGCTCACTACGTGTTTTAAAAATAGAGTTCCTTTTAGTTTCATTAAAAGTCAAAACTGATACAGTATTTCTTGCTAAAGGTAAGCAGTGTATGAGCCCTCAAATATATTTTTTCACCTTCGGTTCAGTAATCTAAATCAGGATCCAGATCTTTTGTGGAGAAATAATTCAGCTTGTTAGGAAGAGAGGTTCAAAGAAAAGTTCCCAAGAAAATCAATAGAACTTGAACTCCTGGGATTTTAGACGCTTTGAAAAATGTCCCCATTAATCCTATTATTTCTGATGCAAGATGTGCTGCACTTGCATTTTCAACAGTGTTTATTCATGCAACTATAACAGCAGGACTTTCCTGACATACAGCAGCAATGGTGATACCCATTTGCTTCATCCATGGTAAAAAAAGCCCAGGTCAGTCCTCAGGACAGATTTCTGTAGTAAACAGAAATTGGGAACTCTTATTTTTCCTAGTCCATGTTTATTTGCACTGTGCAAACTCAACACACCGCACTTTTTTCCTACCTCTATTCTATCCCAAGGCCCCAACTCTACAATGTATTTCAGTTGTGAGGAAGTCGTAGCCTAAATGAAATACCAGCCTCTGGAACTTTATTTTACAGGGCTTTGTGGCAACCAGGATACTTTCAAAGAAAGCCTGCATTGTTTCCAAAATGAACAAAAATGCTATGCCTGACTCCGCACTGTTTCCTCAACTGATCAAAGAAAGGCAGGTAAGACCAAGGTGGGAAGTGGGAATGAGACTGAGGAGTTTGCTTGTAAAAATGAGTCATCTTAAAATGATGGAATGGGATGGAGACTCTAAAAGCTAATATGAAGTTTCTCATTCAATCTGGTGCAGTCCTCCCAGCCTTTATTTCTGACCCTGAGAGCACCAACTGTCCTTGTATAGCACTTTGCGTAGCCAGTTTATACCAAACCAGATGAAGAATACTACTCATCTGCTTTTGTAGTGTGTCACACCCTCTTTGCCCTGATATAAATATGTGTACAAATATGGTGAGAAGGACGCTCAGTTTACACAGATAATGACAGCAGAATGGATTTTCACATGTCCATGAATTCAGATAGTTAAGACACTGGCAGTATTCCACCGTTCCCAGGCATTGTTGCTCCCTTCTCAGAGGATCTTTGAATCCTCAGTCTCTAGCTCTTCCTGTTTTTTCTACTTGTACCCAGTGTGAGAGCTGACTTCTAGCTTGTATTCATTCACTTAGGCCCTGTGCATCATATCAAAAGAATGCGCTGTTATGAATGGCAAAGAAAGGGAATGTGCACTGTTGTATATGAATTTTCAACCCAGTCTTCCCTTTCATTAACTTGTCGCTATTCTGGTTTTACTTCTTGGATGTTCAGAGTGCTGGTTTAAAAGCTCCTCCTGCAAAGGAACTGCTATGCATTGTCTCAAAAACCACAGCCAGTGACCTGACCCCATTTGGACCGTCTATTCAAGCTCAGTGCAGAGGAGTTCCAACTTATATTGCTCATCAAGTTCAGGGTGAGTACAGTCAGAACTGACATGTCATGCACCAAACCCCCCCATCAAATCTGCAGCACAAAACGAGGCAAGTATGTCCCTTTCCTAAATAGAAATGGGCCAGCAGCAAGATTCCAAATATGAACATCACCAAACACTGGATGTTCCCACAAGGCCCCAGGATCAAACACAGATCTGTACCTGCACTTTGCAAGGATCCCTTAATGCTACAGTGACTTGACTCCAAGGTTCAAAATACAGCTCTGAATTTGGCAGCTCCAGCTTTGGTCTAATATGTTAAGTGACTAGTGACTTTTCTTTTGACTCTCAAGAGAGATAGAGAGCGTTACGAGTTCCCTGACTTAGTTAACATCCTTGAATGCTTACAGAAGTTAGTGATCCCACAGTAACTTTAAGAGCTTTGCACAAAGTACTTAGTGACAGCGTCACTGAAACCTAACACACATGCAGCTCCTGTGCATGTGGGCTCAATGCCTCCATGCATTGACAGGGGCCAGGCAGTGGAGGGGTGCCATCGCCTGCTTTGTATGCTGGCCAGGGGTCTTTGGGCGGGGGTGGTCTGGGGGCTTCTGAGCCCCCAGAGCCTGTTCCAGTGGGAACCGGGGACTTTCTCCCTAATGGGGGGGACCCAGTCAGGGCCCCCTGCCCTGATTGCTGGCTTCATTGCCCCTCCCCCTGTTCCTGCCCACACAGATGCAGCCAGCCAGCCAGCAGGCTGGCCGGGTGCCCTCCCTCCCTGGCTGCACAAAGAGGAGACGCTCTTTCTCTTCCCTGTGGCAGACAAGGGGCACAACAGATAACCCTCACAGGGAACTGTATACAAATTCCCTAAGGTGCTCTAATTTAAAGTGCCTTCATTTACTTACCTGATTGAGCAAGGGTTAATTTTTTTGCACAATCGGCTATTGTAAAAGATCTCTGCAGCCATACACCTAAGTTATAACACAGCTGTAGAGAATTGTCAGGGGCCAGATCATGTGAAAATTGTCACTTCTGTCTGCACCCCAGAATTAGCCCATTCCCTTCAGGCCAGCTAATTTAGGTGGCTCTTTCAGTTGCACAAAAGATGTCCATTATCCTTTCTATTCTTTTGTTATCTGTAATGTCAGTCAACACAATTTTGTCTGTCATTTAGTCATTACAATCTAATTTAGATCAATTTTACCTTTAAATGCCATCTGATAGCTTCTAAAACTATATAGATCAGGGCACTAAAAATCAGAGGTAAAATGTAATAAATAGTATGGTTCATCTGATAGTATTAAAAAGCTGTTCTACTTTTCATTGAAGTCAGTAGCAAATTTCTCGTTTACTTCAATAGGCCTAGGTCCTCTTGATTAAAAATAATGCTTTTTTAATAGAAAATAGAAAGTATTTAAGGCAGGGGAAAGAATATGAGATCCTACTGTTGTTAGGGTACTGGCTATTTGATACCACTGACATGCCCTATAATTTTATAATAAACTTCCTTTACTTGATGAAACAGTCAGTAACTGCAAGTAAGTAAAGCTTTTCCTAGGTTGTTTAGGAATAAATATGAATGCATGATAGATGGTTGAGACCCATATACCTCTTAAGTTCCACTTCATGCATTTTCATAGTTAAGTCAGACTTAAGAGATGCTGCTTTTATATTTAAGATGAGAAAGTAGACAGATCACAGATAATTTATGGCAAGGTGGGGTTTTTTCCATATTTTCAGTAGAAACAATAAATGCTGTCATATCACTCTGGGTACCTCATATAGTGCAGTAGATATTTTTGCATTTTCTTATTATTTTGGAATACTTGGAAACTGTTTTTCACATACAGAAATGCAAAGGGTGCATCCACATGAGACATTTATACACAGTTGAATAATTAATGGCACAGTAAATATCTCAGTGTCTACACATGCACCCCCATTATGGCACACAAAACTAAAACTTTGCAGTAGGGCAGTACGTGTAAATACAAGCACTACCCTGCTGTGGAGCTTTTCTGTGTGCAGTAGTGCATGTATAGGCACTGACCACCTGGTTGGGGCACAAGGGTGCTTCAGTGCTGGGGCTGCCTGCCAGCACTAAAGTATCCTCGTGCCCCAGCCAGCTCCTCTGCAGCACATTGAGCCTGGTCACAGCAGTCCTGAGCTGGCAAGCTGAACCCCAGGACCATCTGGGGCTCCTCTGACTGGCTTGCACACTGAAACCAATCAAATCACTGAACTGCAATACTAAACTAACATGCTTGTAAACCAGGCCTGGTAATGGTGAAGAAAAATTACCCTCTGGTTACTACAAGTCTTAAAATAATTTTGTGGGCATCTACATGAGCAATTAGTTCTGGATTTTATTCATGTGCACTAATTGCACGTGTAGACACCCCCAAAGTGATTTTAAGACTTGTACTAAACAGAGGGTAATTTTTCTTGACCATTATCAGGCCTGTTTTACAAACATGTTGGTTCAGTGTTGCACTCCAGTGATTTAATTGGTTTCAGTGCTGCTGCACCAGAGTAAATTTAGCGTAACTCAGCGCTGAGTCTGGACAGTTGGTTTTTTGGGAATGTTATTAACCTATGTTTTGGATTGCAGAGAGTTTCTAAACGAAGCCAAACCTTCACCAAAGCTTGCCTGGTTTGTTCTGAATGGAGAAATGCAAAGTGAACTTTGCAAGATATGACACAGTGAATATTGTGAATGCATGATATTGAAATCAGAGCAGTGAGACTTGGAATGAAAAACCGGGGGTGCCTGTAGATGTGCCAGGAGGCTGCTCCAAGGCGCTGTAATTACAGCACATTAGAGCAGACTCAATTAATTAGGTCCGCTGGAGCATCCTAATCAGCATGCTCCAGTCAGCATCCACATCTCATGTTTCAGAGTCCCCATGCTTCAAAACAGCGGCAGAGGCACTTTAAAGCTCTTTTAACGAGCTTTAGTCAAAGTGCCCCATCACCATTTTGAAGTGCAGGGATGCTGATACATGAGACACTGTGGGAGCTTTCATTAGAGTGGATCTCAGAGCCACTCTAATTAAGCCACTCGTCCCCCAACTCTCCCCAGCATGTGTAAAAATGCCCTGAAAAATTTCCACAAGAAAATTCTGCAAAAAAACCCATTTCTGATCATTCTACCAAAATGCTGTCTTTCAGTTTTCACTGTTTAAGTTGTTGTTTATAATTGTATGTTATTTTATGTTGTTATGTTGTTTTATACTAATTTTATTTTCAATCGTTTTTATTTTATCACTTCTAGGCATTATTAAAATCTTAACAACAGTAAATTGCAAAGATAAAATCCAATATACCCATTTTGATTCTCTTTTTCCTTAGGCCCCAACTTTTTCCATCCAGAGTGTTTCACAGCTGACCTGGGATTCACACACATCAACTACTGTGCTGACACTAATGTTTAGAAGTAAAATAATTCGTGACTAGACTGATGTAACATTGAAGAATAGCAGCCTGCTGACAATCTACCTAATGATAAGGAAAAAAATGTTTTTGATAATGCTTTTTTTAAGCATTTATTTTTTCTCATCCCTTATGCTTTCTGGACCGAAGTATTCTCTGGTGTTACAAAGTCTGTCAATAAAATGAATTACAGCAATTTACTTCATGTTTCTAATAATCAATACTTTCTCTCATCCATATTGATTTAGACTGTGATTTTGCAAGCAAATCTTTCAAATCTGGTCAGTACTTGGATGGGAGACTGTTAAAGAAAACCAGTGCCTGAAGGCCTTTAAAAACTTTGATTTGACAGATTAGTCAGTATATTTTTACAGTGAAACATTATAAGCACCATAGAAAACAAGTTAGTTTTTAAAAGAAAATTGCCATTTTAACATAAGAATTTAAAGCAAATCTTTGTTCTGCAAATAAAGATTGATGAAAAACAATATATGCTTTAAGCTAAACTCAGTCAAACCTATAATACAGTAAAAAAAAGTCTATATTTATCAAGTAAAAGGGCTATCAGAGAAAGCTAAACTTTTAAGCAATGGAGTTACTTTTTTAGTGAAACACATCAATTGAATCTTTCACACTTCAAGAATGTAAAACAATAGCAAGTTTGGCTTCTTGCTGATGGATATGAATATCACTATATTACATGGTGAACATTGAATACATCGTCCAGTTTAATGCTGTATGTTATAACTGAGACAAGAAGGAAATATAAACTACTGGTTCAAAGTTGATTGACAAGAGAATATTTTTTGTGCGTGTTGAATGGTCAAACTAGAGATATCACAGCTACTCATCTATTGACTCAAAAAGTCTTTGAAAGCTGTGAATGTTAGTAAAATGGCTGGCTTTTTTCAACCAGGCATATTCAATATTCAATTATCCTTTTCAGTATTGCAAAAGAACTCGGAATTCCACATCCACAGAAAAAAAGATTATTTTTCTTAGCAAAACATAACCCATTGTTCGGCTAAATAAATATTTCCATTTTCTGTAGAAATTCCTCTCTATGAACAACCCACTAGTGAGTTAAATCAATATTTGTAGGTTTTTGTCATGTGTTTTAACTGACCTGAGCCAGAAATAAATAATTAGTAGAGGTGCACGGATACATTGGTCCAATATCGGATTGGTACCAATATAAATAAAATTTGCTGTATCAGATATTGGCCCGATGGGGTCAGTAATTTGGCCAATAAATGCCCATGCTGTGCACAGCCACAATGCAGTACTCAGGCAGCGAGGAACAGAGCTGGCAGCATGGAGACCTGCTTCCAGCTGGTAAGTTTGTTGTGCTAGAAGGATAAGGGGGAGGGAAGGGGTATGGAGGGGGCAGGGGCAGGCAGATCAACACCCCCCCATGGTGAGAGAGGGGGCAGGGGCAGGCACTGCCCAGGCAGGGTGGGGGGAGGGCCAGAGCCACAACTCATGGCAGCTGGGGGGGGGGGGGGGGGGACGGGCGAGCTCGCGCCCCTTCCCCCCCCCCTTTCTACCACACTGGACTTACCACCTGAAGGCAGCTGTATCAAAAATCGGATTGATATTGGCCAATATGCCTACTTAAATATTGGCTATTGGTATCAGCCTCAAAATCTCTATCAGTGCTCCCCTAATAATTAGAATAATAGAATCGTAGAAAATGAGGGTTGGAAGGGATCTCAGGAGGTCATCTAGTTCAACCCCCTGCTCAAAGCAGGACCAGCCCCAACTAGCTCATCAGAGCCAAAGTTTGTCTAGCTGGGTTTTGAAAACCTCCAAGGATGGAGCTTCCACCAGCTCTCTGGGTAACCTGTCCCAGTGTTTTACTACCCTCCTAGTGAGAAAATTCTTCCTAACATCTAACCTAAACTTCCCTTCCTGCAACTTAAGACTGTTGCTCCTTGTTCTGTCATCTGTCACCACTGAGAAAAGTCTACATCCATCCTCTTTTTAGTCCCCCTTCAGGTAGCTGAAGGCAGCTATTAAGTCCCCTCTCTGTCTCCTCTTCTCTAGACTAAATAAACTGAGTTCCCTCAGTATTTCCTCACAAGTCATGTCCCCCATCCCCCTCACCTTTTTGTTGCTCTCCACTGGACTCTCTCTAATTTGTCCACATCCTTTCTGTAGCGGGGGCCCCAAAACTGAACACAGTACTCCAGATATGGCCTCATCAGTGCTGAATAGGAGAAAATAATTACTTCCCATGATCTGCTGGCAACGCTCTTACCAATGCAGCTCAGGATGCCGTTAGCCTTCTTGGCAAGAAAGGTACACAACTGGCTCATATTCAGCTTCTTGTCCACTGTAACCCCCAGGTCCTTTTCTGCAGAGCTGCTGCCCAGCCAGTCAGCTCCCAGCCTGTACTGATGCATGGGATTTTTCTGTCCTAAATGCAGGACTTTTCACTTGTCCTTGTTGAACCTCATGAGATTCCTTTTGGCCCAATCCTCCAATTTGTCTAGGTCACTCTGAATCCTAGCCCTACCCTCCGGCATATCTACTATTTGCTTCAGCTTGGTGTCATTTGCAAACTTTCTGAGGGTGCACTCTATGCCATCTTCCAGGTTGTTTATGAAGACATTGAACAAAACTAGCCCCAGGACTGACCCATAGGGCACTCCACTTGATACCAGCTGCCAACTTGACATTGAGCCATTGATTACTACTCTCTGAGCCCAATGCTCCAGCCAGTTTTCTATCCACCTTAGTCCATTCATCCAACCTGTACTTGCCTGCGAGAATGTTGTGGGAGACCGTATCAAAAGCTTTGCTAAAATCAAGGCACACCACATCCACTGGTCATCCTCCATCCACAGAGCCAGTTATCTGATCATAGAAGGCAATTAGGTTGGTCAGACATGACTTGGCCTTGGTGAATCCATGCTGACTGTTCTTAATCACCTTCTCCTCCAAATCCTTAGAAATGGGTTCCTTGAGCATCCGCTCCATGATTTTTCCAGGGATTGAGGTGAGGCTGACTGATCTGTAGATCCCTGGATCTTCCTTTATCCCTTTCTTAAATATGGCCACTATGTTTGCCCTTTTTCCAGTCATCTGGGACCTCTCCTAATTGCCATGAGTTTTCAAAGATGATGGCCAGGGGCTCTACAATCACATCAGCCAACTCCCTCAGCACCCTTGGGTGCATCCCACTTGGTCCCATGGACTTGTATATGTCCTGCTTTTCTAAATAGTCCCTAACTTGTTCTTTTGCCACTGTTGGCTGCCCACCTCCTCCCCAAACTGTGCTGCCAGGTACAGTAGTCTGGGAGCTGACCTTGCCTGTGAAGACAAATGTGAAAAAGGCATTGAGGACTTCATCCTTTTCTGTGTCCTCTGTCACTAGGTTGCCTCCCCCATTCAGTAAGGGACCCACGCTTTCCCTGATCCTCCTCTTGCTACCGACATACTTATAGAAACCCTTCTTGTTACCCCTCACATCCCTTGCTAGCTTCAACTCCAATTGCACTTTGGCCTTCTTGACTTTATCCCTGCATACCCAAGTAGTGGTCTTATATTTTTCCCTTGTAATTTGTCCAAGTTTCCACTTCTTATAAGCTTCCTTTTTGTGATTTACTTTACTGAAGAGCTCCTGGCTAAGCAAAGCTGGCCTTCCTCTATACTTGATAATCTTCCTGCACATCGAGGTGATTTGTTCCTGCACTCTCAGTAAGGTTTCTTTAAAGTACAGCCAGCTCTCCTGGTCTCCTTCCCCGCTCAGTCTGGCTTCCCAGGGGATCCTGCCCATAAGTTTCCTAAGCAAGTCAAAGTCTGCTTTTCTGAAGTCCAGGGTCCATACTTTGCTACTCTCCTTCCTTCCTTTCCTTAGGATCTTGAACTCAATCATCTTGTGGTCACTGCTGCCCAAGTTGCCATCTACTAGTACATTTTCCATTAATTCATCCCTGTTTGTGAGCAGGTCAAAAAGAGCATGGCCCCTACTTGACTATGCCAGCACTCACAATAGGAAGTTGTCCCCAACACTCTCTCAAAACTTTCTGGATTGCCTGCACACTGCTGTATTGCTCTCCCAGCAGATGCCAGGTGATTGAAAACCTTCATGAGAATCAGGGCCTGTGTTTGGGAAACTTCTGCTAACTGCTTGAAGAAAGCCTCATCCACCACTTACTCCTGGTCTGGTGGTCTATAGCAGACCCCCACCACAACATCACCCTTGTTGCTCTCCCCTCTGATCCTAACCGAGGACTTTCAACAGGCCTATCTCCACTTTCATGCTGGAACTCTGAGCAATCATATGGCTTTTTTATATAAAGTGAACTCCTCCTCCTCCTCATCTCCCCTGCCTGTCCTTCCTGAACTGTGTGCGCCCATTCATGATAGTGCTCCAGTCATGTGAGCTATCCCACCAGGTCTCTGTTATTCCAATCATGTCATAGTTCCGTGACTGTGCAAGGACTTTGAATTCTTCCTGCTTGTTTCCCAGGCTCAATGCATTTGTGTACAGGCACCTAAGGTAACTAGTCGATTGCCCTGATTTCTCAGAAAGTACAAGAACACCTCCCTTGTTGCCCCATCCTGCTTGGTCTTCCTCCAGGTCCCCCACAGAATCTGAAATCTGTTAATAAAACCAAACTAACCAAAAATAACTCCCTCCCTCCACCCACCCCCACAAAGTTTTTAAGCCTATCTCATAATTTTGGTAGTCCTGACTCATAATATATAAACATTTGGGGTTGATAATGCTACTGTATGTTCAAACACAGTTGACATTTATATGAACACATGCCTATACACTTGACCCCACTGTTACATGTGCAGAATGCATAGTAGTCGTTGACCACACCACAATAACCACTGGTTTCAATGGATTCTGATCCCTTCCATAAAAAAGGATTTGTCATTTTTGTAAACTTGAGCCAGGCATGGCCCATACAATAAAAATGAAGGTAACGTTTTCAAAAATATTTTAGTGATTATGGGACCTAATGAATGATTAAGGATTTGTACT